ATTTAATCTCAGTTCCTCAAATAGGAGCTCCTTAGATTCAATCTTCAAAGCTTTTTTCCAATGGCCTACCTCCACAAATTCTCCCATCTTCAATGGACTCCTCCTTCTATCCTTCTTTGTTCAGTGCAGTATGTTTTATTGGGAAGTTGACTCCAGGATTCAACAATAAGGCTTGTCCTTCTAAGCGTGTGCTTGCAAAATAGGAGATATCCTTAGGCTTGTTCTATCAACAAGAAGAAAGAACAATGATTTAAATCACAAGTTAGATGCATTGAAGAGGAAGATTTCTTGATAAAAGGCCAGGAAATCAAGTAAAGATGCAAAAACTATTTTGAAAAATTATTAAATGAAAAACACGTAGAGGGTGCTAATGGAGGAGGGATTAGTAACTGCAATAGTACTAAAGTAACATATACCTTCACAAAATTAGAATTACTAAAGTGAAGGAAGGCACTAAACAAGATGAAGAAAGGAAAGGTGTTAGGACCTGATAATATCTCAATAGAAGTGTGGGGAAGGTATGGGAGAGGTAGGCTTATTATGGCTAATTAAACTATTTAATTGAAACAAAGAAAATATTCCAATGGATGGATAAAACAAGGGTGGGATACAAAGTTGTAATGATTATCATGGAATTAAACTCATAGCCACACTTTAAAACTTTAGGAGAGAATAATTGAGCAAAGGTTACAACATGAAACAATTATTTTAGAGAACCGATTTTGGTTATGCCAAGGAGATCAACTATGGAAGCTATCTTTTTATTAAGACGATTAATTGAAAAGTTAAGAGAGAAGAAGAGAGATCTTCATACGGTTTTCATTGACTTAGATAAAGCATATGATAGAATCTATGGAGAGATAATATGGTGGGTTTTGGAAAAGAAAGGAGTCCCAAATGGATATGTGGACTTAATAAGGCTATGTATGAAGGTGAAAAAACCAATGTTAGAATAGATTTTACAGTTACCATTGGTCTTCACCAAGATTCAACACTTCATCCTTATTTATCTGCACTAGTCATAGATGAATTGACTTAACATATTCAAGAGGAGGTTCCATGGTGCTTGATGTTTGCTGATGACATGGTATTAATTGTTGAAACTGGTGAAAGGTTAAATGCAAAGTTAGAATTATGGACAACTGCATTAGAAACAAGAGGGTTTAAAATAAGTAGGACTAAAACAAAATATGTGCAATGTAAATTTAATAATAATAGGAGTGCAAATCAGCATATACTTAGGATTGGAGGCCAAGAGATAATGTGGTGTCTTCCATTACCTTGTTCAATAATTCATAACAAAGTAGAGATTGAGGATGTTGCCCATGAAATTAGGATGTGCAAAATGGAGGCATGCATCCAGAGTCTTATGTGATAGGTGAAACCACTTCGGCTAAATGGAAAAATGGTTACAAGGTCAGCTATGTTGTATGGAGTAGTGTCTGGCAATGAAACAGCATGTCAAAAAACGAGTGTGGAGGAAATGTGAATGCTTAGATTGCTGAGTGGTAAAACCAGAAACTCAGAAAGGGCAGGTTTAGAAATGAAGTTAAATAAACCTAGGAGTAGCTCCGATAGGTGATAAAATGAGAAAAATAGATTGAGATGTCTTAGTTGTGCATAAAAGACCATCTACAGCCTCTGATAGAAAAAGTGAGTTGTTTCAAATTTAGGGGGCTAGAAGCACTAGGGACAAATCAAAAAGGACTTGGGTGGAAGTAATAAGAAATGATTTAAGTGCCCATAATTTAGGGTTGGATATTGCACTGAACAGAATGGAATGGCGAAACAGGATTAAGCGACCCCATGTAGTTGGGACAAGGTTTAGATGATGATGATGGTTCCTTGGGATGACATAATGGGGGTAGCCCATCCCCCAAACCCATAACCCCCTAACCTTGCTGAAGACCAGATTCAATCCCAAGTCTCTGCTGGAGCCAGCCAGAGACTTTAACAACTGAGCCTGCTTCCACCCTCTTCATCTTAAGTATCTTGATCATCGTCAGTTACTATCTTGGATATTAAAATAAGTCTTTCCACAAGCTTTTCGTTCCAACTGATATTGGATATTGTGCAACACTTGTATGGGGACAAACTGTTACAATCATACATGGCCGTGCCAACCATGGGTGAAATGTAGTACTATTTAACTTGGAAGTATCAGCTTATTTAGTGCATAACATGTGATTATTTTTATATAATGGCATTATAAATTTATAATTGCTTCCTAGAAACTTCCACCATCTCCTAAGTCTGGTGTTCATAATCGTCACAGGTAGTTATTACCCAGATGAATGGACAAGATCATCCATCGAATGTTGTTCACACATTTCATGTGGGAAAGATGAGGATAAAGCTCTGTAAAGGAAGATTTACGAAGGCTAAAGAAAACTACTCCAATTCAATGCAGGTAAATTGTTACCTGATTCTAATATTGTGTGCTATCATGTTCTCTGAAGATAAGTAAAGTGTCAAAGCTGGAAACTGAGGTGACTTTTGTCGAAAGCATTTGGCAGTACTCAAGTTCTTACCTGGACAAATGCTTTCTGAGATCTGCTTGTCAAAAAGTACTTCTAATGGCATAATCATAGAAGGAATTAATGTTTTATGTATTTATTCCCCTTCGATCAATATGGCTAATCGGCTCTTGCTAGAAGTTTATTAGATTATTAATTACTATGTTTTCTTATTTACTGGCAATTAATGCATTGGAACCTTGTTGTTGCTTACAGTTAAGGAGATGTTTTGTTTCTTCTACAAGTTCTAGCTCTTTAATTGAAATCTAGAATGCCAGTTTCTTTCATTTAAATGATAAATATTTTTGGGAATTGAAAGAGTTACCCGTGAATGGGCATTTCTTACACTTTCTTCGCCTTCCCAGTTATGTGGAGTTAGAGGGGCTGGTAATGCGGCACCACAGGCATTGTTTTGGCATGTAAAGAAAGGACAATCCTTGGTATTAGCTTTTGAATCAGAGCGAGAAAGGAATGCAGCCATTATGCTTGCCAGAAGATTTGCTTTTGACTGTAATGTAAGCATCTCCTGGCTTCCAACTTGCAATCTATTTATCAATCCTTTATCAGAATCATATTCTAAATTTAATTGTTTAAATTGCCAGATTATGCTTGCTGGACCCGGTGATCGAACGCCTTTGGGGAACTAACTTGGTTTGCTTCTCTTTCCTTGAATGTAAAGTATTACTAGTATAACTTCCGGAATATGTGTATTTGTTTGTTTGTAACAATTAAAAGAAAGAATTGGTGTGTTGTATTATTTGTAAGCTGGGCTTCCTCCATTCTGGTTGCATCCTAACATCAAAGGCATCCTTTTTTATTTGCCTTTTTATTTGGTTGTAACAATTTTTCCACTTTATGTTTACGATTCATGTGCAGCTATTAATTAAACTATTGGCTTTGGGTGATATCTGAGTGGAAATTGATGGCGTTTGTTTCTTCATTTTTTCTTTTTGGACTGCATCGTTGATGGTGTTTGATCATCCAAGTCTAAATCTTCCAAGTTTAAATGTTTCTCTTCATCCGCAATGAAAAAAAGAAGAAAAAAAGGCCCTACTACGGTAAACTCGCGCAGAATAAGATACATTTGAGGATCAAAAGATGATATCCAGCGATTGTATTATAGAGTTAATAGTAGTATACAGTTATAAGAATGGAAAAGAATAAAAGTTGCAACTAAATGAGATAGTGCCGTATTGTGAACCATCATCGAAGCAAAATTGGCGTCCTTTTGCTTGAACCATGTTATCAGGCACTGATTTCCATAAAATATCTCTGGCCTTATAAAATGGAAATGGACCCATTCTACTTGACATGAAGGTGTGGAAATGGGTATTTACAGATTATGGGATTGTCGTTTCAATTAGTGGGACCATATAAAATCTTTTTAACTTTACCGCATCTCTACTATATGGAAGAACAAAATGATTCAACCAAAATGCTAAATAAATTGTTAGTTATCTTTCTTTACAATGTTTGAAGGAAGATTCTTTTTAGGAGTTAACTTTCTTGTTATTTCTACCTTCAGTGTTTTTAGAGGTTGGTTTTCTTCATGACCTCTTCATAACTGATTCCACTTCTATAAAAATGCTTCAACCAACGGATTTAATCAACTTCATATGATAGGAATGACAACGTGGTGAGTTCATATTCATTGCCCTCAACCCCAACTTTGAAAGAAATCTCTACCTCTGACCCTGATCTCTGATGGGGATAAAAAAGACCCTCCATATCCAATCCTCGATGGAGATGGGTTCCTCATCAGGGACCCGAATCATTGGAATTTTTTTTTTTTAAATTAGAATTGTTTTTATATTTACTTAAATAAGATGGATTTTTAAAATACAAAAAATTGACTATATTTTGTTGTAAATAATATAATGTCTACATATATTTAATATATAATAGATATTTAACATATATAATTGAGGTTAGTGGGGAATTCAATTCCTGATTGTGCACGATCTGGAAACTCCTAGCTGAAAGATCACCTGGACACTAATCGCGTAGCGAGCTGGACCAAACTGCAAGACAAAGGATCAGAGAACCCAGGGTGGCTAACCCGACGAGGTCGCTCCGATGCTTAAGTCAGTATTGTATTTTGGTTGCGAGCTGAATGCTTGAATGCTAGAATGATAGTGAGCAAGTAATTGCGCATACCTGAGTCTTGGGGTTGATGCCCTTATATAGCTGGGCTGTCGTAGGTCTTGCGAAACGTTCCCGAAATCCCTGGCCCATGATGTAGAGATCCGTTCCACTTTGGAAGGGGGGTAATGTACCAATTAATGAGGCTTACCGTTTCCCTCCGATTCGGGCGGGATAAGGATGAGACCTACAGTTATATGGCATGATCCCAATAAGTTCGGAGACAATTGTCGAGCTCCTAAGTTCAGTTACATGGCACCTCGGCGCAAGTGGGTACCGAAGTGCTCCGGGTCTGAAGTGGCCCAGCACTCGAGGTCCCCCGATCTGCTGATGTGGCACTATGTGCCGATTTGTCATTTGGCTGACAAGCCGCGCCCACGTGTCCCTTACATATCAAGTTGGGCCAAATCACCCCTCATCACTTCCCATCCCCATCCCTGTCCCCAATCAAGTAGACAAGTATTACTGTCAATCCCTGTCCTCACCAAGGAATCTCCATCCCTAAACTAAATAGGTCTATGAATCCAGGTATTTGATGGGAATGGAAAAAATTGCCATCCCTAAGCAATAATAGGTGAAAACATACGTTCTCTACTCTTAAATGCAAATAAATATTAGTTAGTGGGTATAAACTCTTCATAAGGAATACCTAGAATAGGTAATCCACCCATTTGATTGACATCAATTTAAAAAATCCCTAGCCCACCACCATCACCCAAGTGAAGAGAGTTGATGTGAACACTTCACATTTCACAAAATGCTTGCCAAACATTTGAGTTACAATAATAGGAATATTGGGAAATTGCATCAACTCCATAAAATTCTAGTTTGTTGTAACTCTTTCTCATTATCTCTCAAAATCAACTCCGGTTGATTGGATGTAAGTTTTTCCTATATCATTGTGGAGAAATTCCTAGTGTTATAATGAGTTCAGGTTGGACCTAGTTCAGAGTGTATATGTGCTACTGTCACTCCAATCTTTTACTTTGTTGTATGACTGATGTGTGGCATTATTATTGGATAAACGACGGGACTCTTCCTATTTAGAAGGGCTTAAACGCTGGCTTTCCAAGGGCGCCACATGAACAGCCTTATAACTCTATAAACTGTGTTTGGTGAATAATTTGGAGAGCCCAACATGGCCGCCCATCAGTTATTTGAAGGTCTGTTCACTTCAACCTCTTTAAATAGCTTATAATGAACGCTTCAAAGCAGCTGAATCAGTTTACTGAATTTTTGGCTCTTCCCAAATGGGACCTTGGGCTGCGGATAAGCTTTGTCCGATGTCTATTGTCACACAGCCATTTCACTATTATTATGCAAGGGAATGAATATCTCCGCATGAATGACAAGAGGAATGTTCCCGATGTGCGGCTGCAATGGACTGTTGGGGCAGTATTGGGAGCGTTCTATTGGTAGCACAGCAGAGATCGCTTACTAGGAGTAGGAGGTAGGGCTGTTCATAAGAAGGCTCAACCCGACTAAACCGATCAACCCGGACCGATCCAACCCGAGTCGGCCGGGTTTTCATCAGTACAGGTCGGTTTCGTGTTGTGTAAATTCTTAAACCGATTCCAAAGTCCATTAGGCCACCTAGTTTTTGAATAGTTGCAAGAAACTTTGGATTAGTGAATAGTGATTAATGAACAATTTTTGTGATTAACTTTTCATTTAAATTTTATCATAGGAGATGACTGAAATGATGTTCTATGACTGTTTTTAAAATTAGCATGATTTTATCACAGGGATGAACTTAGAACCGAAACCAACCCGATTCAAACCGACCAAGTCGATTTTGCTTAACACTGGGTTGATTTTGATTTCTATGTTAGATAACCCGACCAAATCGAATCGATTGGAAAAACCACAATAAACTGACCCAACCCGACCCCTACTAGGAGGAGACTCTAATAAATGGGATTGGGGAAGGCCTATGGTTGAAAGTTGAAAGTTGAAACATCATGGGGAACTCATTCAATTGGGGACCACTAAACCCATCTCAGTTGGACATACTAATGGGGCCCACGTACCAAATCAAATCCATGGTATAACTGCACATGAAGCACACGACAGGCACGCGGCGTCCGTATCCAAGGTTTTTATGTGGATACAGCCGAAACATACGTTTCAACGGGCTCCACCGTCCACCTACAACTACAAGACTAGAGCCAACCAATTTGATGAGTCAACTCATAGAGTCCAAAATCTCTGATCCTGATGATAATATCTGATGATTCGGATCTTCTGAGGAGGGCCCACTCAGCAATTCCATATCCGTGATACCTGCGCAACGTGTCAATTATTTTCTGATTTTAGTGCTTCCTCCGCACAGATTGGCTCCCACGCAGCACCCACAGCACATCTCTGCCTGCACTGTGAACATCTCCCCGTGACATGATATTCCCTAATGCGCGGTTGGGATGTGTTGTGGGCGCGTGTGTGGCCCGCTGAGTAGGGAGCCAATGCGATCCCCAGAAAAAGCTGCCGAAAAATAGCGAAGATACTTCTTCCACTCTGTTTAGAGCCAACGGTAACATCAACGGTAACTTTTACGAATCATAAAGCCCTAGTGATTTAGAAGGTAGAAACCCTCTTTTAATCCGTTGGATTTCAACAGATCCGACGGTTCAAGATTTAAAAAAATAAGACCGTTGCGGGAAGACGCGTCACTCCCTCTGGTTCAAAAAGGTAAAGCGCTACGGTCAGTTTTCATTTCCATTCGGAACACAGCCTAGATAAAGAGAGAGGAAGAAAAGAAGCAAGAACAGAAGGAAAGAAGAGCGGAAGGGAGAGATCACTGTTGTTGATTGTTGCTCGAGGTGGCGACTGCAAACCCAGAAGGGGAGACGCGGAGCAGCAGGCTCCATTCATTTCTATCGTCACTTTTCTCGAACCTTGGAGGAGTTTTTGGGCAGAATCAAGAAGCGGAGATGGCATCTAGACCAATTGTTCCACAGCAGCCCAGAGGTAATAAAGCATCCATGGCCCTCTAATATTGATTTTCTTTTGTTTTTCTTCGATTTGTATGACGGTATGCTGTGGGTCGTCCTCTTTCTTGAGGAGAATTTTCATCTTGTCTTCAATTTTAGAATCTTCAATTGAGTTTCTTCCAATTGTTAATGGAAATGTTATTTTATAGGTGTTATTAATTGGAAGTTCTCTTTCGTTTAGTCTGTCTCTGTTTGTGGTGTCGGTGAAGATCACTCATTTAGTTTATTTGATGTTTCTTCTTGGTGATCTGGGTACTTTGCTTTTTTTTGAAACTTTCATTATTCTCTGCACGTGGCGCTTGTTCTTGGTCGCCTGGGTATGCTTGAGAAGAAATAGACATTTGATTTCTAAGTTTTCGATTTGGGGGGTTATGGTTTGAGAAGATGCGGTTTTCATTTTGGGTTTTTAGAGTTGTTACTTCACTTACGGTTTCTGGCGCTTGTTCTTGGTCGCCTGGGTATGCTTGAAAAGAAATAGACATTTGATTTCCAAGTTTTCGATTTGGGGGGTTATGGTTTGAGAAGATGCGGTTTTCATTTTGGGTTTTTAGAGTTGTTAGTTACTTACGGTTTCTATGTTCTTTACTTTACGTCCTTTTTCGTTTGGGGATTCTGTTCTTTGTCTACTGTTCAATGAATTTATGGCATCTCTTGCGAAAACTTTGCAGGTGGGGCAGTCATTGATGCAGCCAAGCAGAAGAATGGCGCTCTGGAAGGAAAGAACCGTCGAGCACTGGGAGATATTGGGAATCTAGTCACCGTTCGAGGTGTCGAAGGGAAGCCCCAGCAGCAGTTCTCTCGCCCTGCAACAAGGTTTTTTTCATTCTCTCTCTCTCTCTCTCTCAACTTCTCTGATTTCTTTATCTAATTATTTCCTTTCTGCTCTCCTAGGAGCTTCTGTGCGCAGCTACTCGCCAATGCACAGACTAATGCACGAGTTGCAGTAGAGAATAACAAGGTAACAACGTGTGTTCTCAGCAATTTTCTTAATACATGATTAATATTTTCAATTTGAGCTATTTGAACAAACGGGGTTCTTTTAATTTGCAGAGACAAGTTGCAGTAGTTGTCGACGAAACTATAGTTGTTGATGCTGATGCGGTGGGAAAGGGAAATCCAGCACCAAAAGTAGCTCCAAAAAGGGTCACTGTTAAGCCAAAACCTCAGGAAGTAATCGAGATAAGCCCAGATACAGAAGAGGTGACCAAAGAGAAGCCTCCTGTAAATCAGAGAAGGCCAAGGGAAGGATCGTCCAGGAAGAAAGTTCAGACCCTCACTTCAATCCTTACTGCTCGTAGCAAGGTATAGCATCCTTTGTAGATCTAAACTAGGACCCAGTTGAGAGAAACTGTTTTTTTTTTTCTTTTGCTGTGTGTGTGTGTGTTTAATGGGTTTCATTTGTTCAGGTGGCTTGTGGTTTGACCGATAAACCGAAAGATCCAATTGTCGACATTGATGCAGCAGATGTCAATGATCAGTTGGCAGTAGTCGAGTATGTTGAAGACATCTACCAATTCTACAAGCTTACAGAGGTATATATTTTGTCCTGTTTCTCACACACGCTTCCATATACGAAGTTAAGCATCTATTAGCCAATCTATGGATGTTTCTGTATCTGGGTGCAGAGCGAGAGCCTTGTTCGTGACTACATGGATTCACAGCCAGACATCAACGAGAAGATGAGAGCAATTCTTGTGGATTGGTTAATCGAAGTCCACCACAAGTTTGAACTTATGCCTGAAACACTCTATCTTACCATCCTCATTGTCGATCGGTTCCTTTCCATGAAGCTTGTTCCAAGAAAAGAGTTGCAGTTGGTTGGAATAGGTGCCATGCTTATAGCCAGCAAGTACGAAGAGATTTGGGCTCCAGAGGTAAAAACATAGATTTCTTAGAAATGTTTCTTGTTTCTTGTTTGCTAACTCTTAGTCCATGGATTCTTGGAATTGTGCAGGTCAATGACTTTGTCTGCATATCAGATAGAGCATACAACCGAGAACAGATACTGGCCATTGAGAAAGCAATACTGGGCAAGCTTGAATGGACCTTTACAGTCCCTACGCCCTATGTATTCCTTGTCCGCTTTATCAAGGCCTCTGTTGCTGATCAGGAGGTAATAAGGAGGTCTTGCTATGTTTTCATCTCTACTGTGTGTAATTCAATGGTGTAGATTTTGCTGACTGAATGCTTTTTCCTTTGAAATCCAGATGAAGCATATGGTGTTCTTCCTTGCTGAGCTGGGTTTGATGCAGTATGCCACCACAAAGTACTGTCCATCGATGATTGCAGCCTCTGCAGTGTATGCTGCTCGGTGCACCCTGAACAAATTGCCTCTGTGGAGTGAAACGCTTCAACTCCACACGGGTTACTCAGAAGCACAGCTTATGTAAGCCCTATCTTCTATTTCTCTTCTTGGCTTTAAGAGTTTATTTATATCTATTACCTGCTGAGTTTCTCCTATTTTGTTGTGACAGGGACTGTGCTAAGCTGTTGGTTAGCTTCCACTCAGTGGCAGCAGAGAGCAAGCTGAAGGTGGTATACAAGAAATACTCCAACCCAGAACGCAAAGCTGTTGCTCTGCTCCCTGCGGCCAAAACTCTTTTGATTCCATCATCATCATCATCTGCAGTATTGAAGAGCACATGAGCTGCACTACGAAACTTCACAAGATTGATCATTGCACTTCGATGATCCGTAGCTATCCAATGTTTTTGGTTTTTTTCATTCTTTTGTTTTTTCATTTTTATGGAGCAGTCACTGTTTGTGATTATCAAGTCACTGTGTGTAGCCTCAGCACTTGGTTTATTTTGTAAAGGCTGGGAAGAAATATTGAAGAACCGGAAGTTCTTTTTTGGTCATTCCGTTTTATCCAGTGTTTGTAATGGTGACAGAAGTTATCCAAACTATCCGCCCAATCAATCCATTGATCAATGTTCAACAATATCCAAGCTGAAAAAGTCCAACAATATCTCCGCTGGCCTCCCTCAATGATGCCATCAAATGGTGACACTCCTGGCCTCTAATTTTCATTGGATGACTTGAGACCTGCTTCCTCCATTAAAACCAAAGTCCTAAAAAGATGAACTAGAATGAAGTCGTACTGGACCAGATCGGATTGGACATATTCATTCGGTTATCGACAGCCACCCATCGAGCATATATTTCTAAAATCTCTGATACTAGGAGTTCACAATCAAGGTGAAAGTTGTGTACTTTGGAAGGGAAAAGATTTTTTCACAATCCTATCAAAGATTATTTTGGGTAGACTATAGACAATAGACTAGACTATCAAAGATTATTCCACAGACTTTATTAATATCATTTTAATTATAGCACAGACTTTATTAATATCTGTATAGCTTATATCTTTTGCATTGATGGAAATTAACATTACTTCATTCCAAAATTTGTTGGTAGAAGAATATATAAGCTTGGCACCTCGGTCATTAAGGGAGATTTTGGCTCAGCACCTCAACAATTGAGGGTGACCCTCAGCTTGGCACCTTATCAACTGAGGGAGAAACCTTTACTTTACAAACCTTGTCAACTGTGTTTGATTTGACGGAAAAAATAGGGAAAAGAAGAGAAACCTTTACTTTACAAACCTTATATAGGTTTCCCAACATTTTTCTTTCTTTCCCTACCTTTTCCTTCAAGCCAAGCATAATCTTAAAGAAGAATGATGCCTGGTAAATGCATCGAAGAAGCATACATACAACAACTTAAAATCTAATAGATTGGATCCCGAAAAATTTAACTCATGCCCCAAATTAGGCAACCTGTCCGCTGCAAAGTTTAATTGCTTCCCTGAATTGAAGTCATGCACGTAGGAGACATCGGTTTTGTAACACTGGCGCAACGCTAGACTAGACAATCTTGGATGATAGAGCTGACCATATATCCACGGGCCGGATATCAATCCTACCACAAAGACTATTTATAATAATGTTTGGAATCACCTTCGATTATGATCTTCAAGCCCARAAACCTCTCCCCGATTCTGTGAGTTTCAAGAGCACCCCACGCCTCAACTTCATTTATCAAATATTCCCCTATGTCCTTGCAACATACCCAAAGAGATTTCCCCTCATCATCATAATTTTCAAAACCGGACCGGAYTGGAAAACCGGTAATTGTTCAGCCCTCCGGGTCCGATTATACTGTAAACCACTAAATCCTAAATAACTGTTGAAAATRTCAGAAAAYCRCTGATCCGGGTGGTCAAACCGCTAAACTGTTCGAYTCGGGCAGCRGTTTGCGGGTTAYGAATTTCATTTTCGTTGATTTAAAAAAATAATAAAAACAAAAARAAAAMC